AAATAAATAAATAAATAAATAATAAATAAATAAATAAATAAATGTCCTGCACTATAAATAAGAAAATACTTATTGTTGAAGAAAAGGGGAAAAAATACTCACTTATCCAGTATACACTGCACAAGCAAGCTTTCCACGTCAGCTACATCTATGTTTAACTCCTAAGGAGGAAAACAACAGGCAGAGATGATGGCTCAAGTGTTAGAGGTTGAAGGACGTCAATATGAAGATGCAACATTTTTTTTTCTAACTTTCTGATCAGTAACAAGAACTGAAAACCCATGAAAACAATACGTTCAAGTACCTTAGAAATAAATGGAATATGTATCCTTGTGTAAGGCTTAATTAATTTTATAAGCACTTGTGTCCTGATGTTTCGCAAAAGTTCTGGAAGAAAACAAAAGCAAAACGGTCACTGCACAAAGCGTTAAGAAATAAAAGAAATGCCTAGGTTTCTATCAAGTAATCGCTGGATTTCTCTATATGTACAAGCACAACCACAACTGAGCCCGAGAATTTCTGCTGCTCAATCAGACATTTGTTAAGCGAGTTTTGCCCCATTTTACGGCCTTGCTTGCCACATTTGTTCAGCGAATCACTGCATGACATGGTTGTTAAGTGAAACTGGCTTCCCCATTGACTTGGCTTGTCAGGTCACAGAAGGAGATCATATGACCCGAGGATGCGGCAACCGTCATAAATATGAGTCAGTTGCCAAGCGTCTGAATTTTAATGTGACTGGGGTGGTGGTGGTACACAGTGGTGGGATTCGCTTACCTTCCCTACTGGTTTGCAAATGCGAGTGCATGCGCAACATCTGCGCATGCGCACCAACTTCTGGATATGCAGAGTGCTCACGCATTACGTCAGGGCGGATGGGCAGACCCTCCCGCAGCCGCCGCTATCGGTTCGCCTGAACCGGAGAGAACCGGTTGGATACCATCTCTGATGTTACAGCAGTTGTAAGCATGAAAAATGGTCGTAAGTCACTTTTTTCAGTGCTGTTGTACTTTGAACAGTCACTAAATGAACTGCTGTAACTCTAGGACTGCCTGTATATCCTGAGATCCAATAACTGATTTCCAAATTGTCTTTTCAAATCATCCAAAAATATACAAGGCCCAGGCCTTTAATTAACCAACTTATCACAAACTGATTAAAGTAAAAATTGCTGACACTATCAGTTGCATACAAGGAAAACCAGTACAAAATGTTTTACANGTGATCTGTCAGAGTTAAAGCTGGAGAATATTTCTATAAAGATTTCTGCAAGTTTCAGTAGACACCCTTCAAGAAACACTGAAGGGTTTGTTTTATATCTATCTATCTATCTATCTATCTATCTATCTATCTATCTATCTATCATCTATCCATCCATCCATCCATCCATCCTACCATCTCACATGCTTTACAGAAATATGCAATTGATTATATCTTAATGCTATATAGATAATAGAATTCTGCTAAATTTCTCAAATTCAGTCTCTCAGGTTCATTATAGTAGTTATTTTATATTTTCTTTTTTTATTTGATATGTTCCTTTTAATCCCAAGGACTTGTAATCTTTTTCTGGCAACCAGTACATGAAAGCATGTTTCCTTCTATGTTTTTGCATGCAAGAAATAGATTATAAAAATAAATGGATTTTATTCCATGTGATTTTCAAGTCTTTGTAATAAATGGTAAATAAATGGTGCTCTATTTTGTGGTGAACTGCTCTCTGTTTAACTTGAACAATTATTTTTATAATAAATGAAATAAAGTAGCATTTGTAACATTCACAGAGATGATTTTTCAAGAAGGTGCAACTTCTAGAAATTGAAAGGAGAGATAATCTAACCTGCTTTGAAGTGGAAATATAATCAAGAATAGAATTGATGGATTTTTCTGAATAATTCCTTGTGACCGCACTCCGTATGTAGGTCAATAGTTGTTTATATCTGTTCATCATTTCAGGAAAGTTAGTCTTTATCAGAAAAAGAAAAATTTATTAATTTTAACAACGCATTTCAAACTGAAGATGAGTCTAGTTAGTAAATTTAAAAATAGGACAAACCCTGTGTAACTGGATACATGTCTTGAATTTCTGCAAGTGCTCTTCCATTCATTTTGAAGAGGTCAAACTAACGACAATTTTCTCCCATTTTGATGTGGCTTAGTTCTTACAGGAAAAACCCAACTAAAAATGATACACATCTTACCAGTTTGAAATTTATTTTTATCATCTGTTTTAATGCTTTGAATCCCCATTCTCCTTTTTCACCTTCAAGCTCCAAAACCTAAAAAATAGAGAAAGGTAATATTTTTCAATATTGATACTGGTAGATTCACCAAAAGCTGCAGTTAATCCTAGTTCTTTTTGTTTGTTTGTTTGTTTCAGGAGAAAGTCTTCCATTATCCGTCAAAATGGCAATATTTGGGATTTCTGTATTTCATCCTTGAATGTCCGTGTCCCCATTTCGAGTTCTTCTCCTGGATTTATTACAACAGGAAGACATCCAGCAGCTTAATGCAGAAATTATTTTCAAGGGACTTAGTTGTCACTTCCAGCAAGGCATCGGCAACTGAACCTGTCTACAAATGCAGTTACAAAAACAGTAACAAAAGAAGGCAGATAGGAAGAGAAGAGGTAACGTGTGACCCATCAGCATGAGAACCCAATTGTAGAAAGATTTTTTAAAAAAATTCAAAAGTAGTAACAATAAGATGCTTCCTTCTTAAAATAAATGTCCCCACAAGCGAAAAAGTCTTTAATACTTCTAAGTAGCATTGAGGAGATTTTAAGTAGCTAAGCTCAGTCCTCCCTGAAGAAGACATTATGAGGAGCAGTGATATTCCAGAGAGGTTTCACAAGACTTACCCCTTAGATAATAAATGATATCATCTATCACAGAGGTGTCAAACTCAAGTCGGCATGGAGGCACCACCTGACATATCGAGACTCCCCCCCCCTTCGCTAAACCGGGTGTGGGCATGGCCAGCTTGTTACACATCTGGCCCGTGGGCCAGGAGTTTGACAGCCCTGATTTATCATAAATGATATTAGAAGTTTCACAAGGTTTCACAAGACTTACCCCTTAGATAATAAATGATATCATCTATCACAGAGGTGTCAAACTCAAGTCGGCATGGAGGCACCACCTGACATATCGAGACTCCCCCCCCCCTTCGCTAAACCAGGTGTGGGCATGGCCAGTGTGTGACACATCTGGCCCGTGGGCCGGGAGTTTGACAGCCCTGATTTATCATAAATGATATTAGAAGTGAAACATGGTGAATATCCCAGGATTATTTGACCACAGGATTTCGCCTGCACCAAGCTGTCACAAATAAAAAGCCTAATAAAACAAAATATTTGACAGACGAATGTATACCATATATGAAAAATTAAAACTATAAACCTTTTGAAAACTGCTCAGTGCTGCTTTGGGGTCATCCTCTTTCAAGGCTTTGGAGTTGTAATACTGATTCTCCAAATCTACATTTGGTTCAGAGTTGCTGTCTTCAGAATATTCCTGTATTTTAAAAAAGGGTAAATATATATATATATGTGCGTCAGCTGAGAATATTGAATTTTAATCAATTAATTGATAAGTGCCAGAGAAGAGTGTGCACGGGGGATAGGAATGAAATGGGAAATTGGGGGGAAATCAGTTGTAGTGACTGCATAAGCAAATAGCTAGAGTGGCTTCCGAAGTTGCCACACATCCTTTGTTGCTTTAACAATTTGCAAGCTTTTTGCAGCTTGTCCTATGGAATAAAAGGCAAGTCAAACAATCCATGCAGTTAAAAGCAACTCTCATGAATACATCACAAACTGGTATGTTTTGTTTTTACAAGGTAGAATTCATCAACCCAAGCTTTAATCTTTCCTGGATTAGGTTAAAGGTATGAGGAATGAGGTAATTTATAACGAAGTTTCAGAAAGATTTCTGCTATGAAATAAAATAGCCTGAATAACGGCTTCTTGATGCTGCTTGCTGGATAGTCTACTGTCATCTGAAATCAACTAATGCTTCCATCAAGCTATCTCCTATATGCTTTCAATGTGATTTTCAAGGACAACTTGTTTTGGGCTAAGGAGATTTTGGTTATATTACTATAAATGATAAGTTAAATCAGTAGATTCACTGAATTTGTCATAAATCATGGGATCCATACAACCCAATAGATCATGTTTTACAAATGATCTACACCTGGAGAATCCATACTTTATTTGCTCCCCAAGCCCTTAAATAAGACTATCTCCTAGTTATCTTTGATTTTTAAATGAAGATGCTAGGAGCTGAATTTAAAAGGGGACAACATGCAATCTATTTCAAGAAATAGTCACACCATGCCTTTTGGGGAAAAAAACTTGTGGAGAGATCTATGTAATCAGTGTTTTCAAAAGTTAGCAAGTACTCCCTCAAACCCACAAACAAGAATTTCAATTGAGAAAACATGCCAGCCAACTTGTTTTCCACTTTAATAATGACTGCACTGGTTGTCAATCTGTAGTCCTGGGGGCCCCTGGGGGCCACAAGGAGGAGGTCCAATAAGGCTTGCAGAAATGCTATGATTTAAAACTTGGGTTAAGTCTTGGGGGTCTGTGGCCACAAAAGATATTTAAAGGGGGTCGGTGGGGAAGAAAAGGTTGAGAACCACTGAATTACTGGAAAGATCCATGTATTTGGTTTTATTTATGTATTTGGAAATTTTATATTGCCGCCTACTCGCTCACAGCGACACAAGGCGGCTTACAGGAAATAAAAAGGTTATATTTGTATAATAAAATAACCTCAGAAAGTTGCAAAAGAAATCACAAGACTCAAATATCCACCTAGATAAGCTGTTGCTAGAAAAAAATGAATTAAAACTTTTCTTATAAAACAAATGATATTTGTTCAGCAGATTAGTCACTCATTTTCAAGGCTGGCTCCCACAAGACCTGTCAAATTACATCAAAATAGAGGACTTTTAACGTGCAGGAGGAAAAGCTCCCTATAAAGCATGCAACTGCCAACTCCCACAACCTACCCACCCCAATACATACATGAAAAGAAATAATCAGGATAATCAATTAGATAAGGAAGTTTGACTCAGACTCTCATGAAATCCTAATTAAGCGCCATCAAGTTGTCTTCCCTTCCCAGGACCACAAAGATAGACAAAATGATACTTTGAGGCAGGAATGAAACACAGGTAGTCCTCAACGCACGGCCACAACTGGGCCCAACATTTACGCCGTTAAGTGAGACATCTGTTCAGTGAGTTTTGCCCCGTTTTACGACTTCCCTTGCTACAACGAACCCCTGCCTGCTGTTAAACTAGCAACCTTGTTGTTAAGCGAATCTGGTTCCTCCCCCCCCCCATTAACTATGTTGGTCAGAAGGTCACCAAAGGGGAACAACGTGACTTTGAGATGCTTGCAACTGTCCTATGTATGAGCCAAACCTAAGTCATGTGACCATGGGGGAGGAGAATGCTGCAACTGGTCGTTAAGTGTGAAAAACAGTCACAAGTCACTTTCCCCCCCCAAGGCCCCTTGTTAACTTCGGTCACTAAACGAACGGTTGTAAGTCGAGGAATGCCTGAACTGGAAAGCCGGTCAGATTTCAGAAGACCCCCCCCCTTCCTCCAAACAAGGAACCATGCAACCCCCTCAGCCACCCTCCAGGGACTGGCTCCCCACAGCCCCCCCACCTATCCGGGCCTGGGGCTTCAGGGGGCAAGGCGGGCGGGTCTTTCTGGGCCAAGCAGCCCAGTTCCCACCCACCCACCCTAGGGATCCAGCTCTTGGGGGCCGAGGCGGCCCAGCCCCAGCGCCCCTTGGATGGGCCTGATCGGGGGAGGGGGGCTAGCGCGGGGCCTGGGCGGCGGTGGAGGCGGCGCCGTCCTCTCTCCGGGCCGGAGGGAAGGGACGTGGGGGGGGGGGGGGGGGGAAGGGGGAGATCTCACTGGCGCCCCTCCGCCCGGCGGCGCCTCTCCTGCCGCGCTTCCTTCCCCGGGGNGGGGGGGAGTGGGAGGGCTGAGACTGCAGATTAGGAGGTTGGGGGAGGATGTAATCTCTCAATTTGTGGAATAAAATAGTTTCTATATATATATGATACAAGGGCTCTCAAAATGCTCATCCAGGTTTACCTCCAGGTCTGGAGGTAAACAGCTGGGGCATGGAATTAGTGGTCCCATTCGTTTTGTTTTTCGACCTATATGATTTTAACAACATAATCCCATTTATCCACATGCCACATATTGCCTCCAATAATTCAGAAACTACCTGGTAAAACTAGAATAGCTTTTTTCGTAATACTGACATAGAAACTAAACACCAGGAGCATAACAGATTGATGGACCGCTGATACATCAAACTATGTGTACCCTTTACATTCTAGTGGTCATTAATTAAATAATGTATACTTTTTGCAATCAAAGATAATTTGGAAACAAATTTCAAATTTTCTCTAGCACTTCATACTGTTTCAAATGCATTTGTAGGTTGCGATTCATTTTGCTCGTTAAGAAGAAAAAGTTCTTACCTTACTAAATTTGTCATTGCTAGAATCTCTGGATCATTTTTGTATGGTTTTGCCTACATGGGAAATAATATACGTTTATATTTCTACAATAACGAAAATATTTTTGCTAATCTCTTTCACACAGAGAAAAAAACCCAAAGAAAGGGTCAGCTGTACCTCCTGAGAATCAAACGGATTTATTCCAGACTTCATCAGCATGTTTGCTAGGACTAAATATTTTAAGCACGTAGTTCTTCTTGGACTCCCTGATTCATCATAATTTTTGAACGCTTCGAAGAAATCAGTATGTGCCTTTTCAAATTCACCTTCTCTTAGGTGCATTTTACCACCACATTCTGTGGGGAGAAAAATTAAGACAGCTGGAATGATTTACTTCTGCCGCACAGAACACAGAATACCTTTTAAAACTGACCGTTTGTTTATGAATACAGTACTGACGAAGGGCTAAGCAGATTGAATAATGCCTAAATCACGTCTCTTATTTCAACTACTTATTATAAACATTCAGTTATTACAGTGAACCTATATACAGGTAGTCCTCTTGTAGCAACTGAGACTGGCAATTCCATCACTAAGCTCCGTGGTCACTAAACAGCAGATCGCGTGACTAGAACAGACTTACATCCTTTCCCAGTTGTTAAGTGAGCCACCATGATCATTAGCTAAAGCATGGGTCTCCAACCGTGGCAACGTTTAAGACTTGTGGACCTCAACTCCCAGAATTCCTCAACCAGTTGAAGTCCACAAGTCTTAAAGGTGCCACGGTTGGAGACGCCCTGAGCTAAAGCATTATGTGGGCCCCAACTTGCAATTTTACTTTTGCGCTCTTCATTAACTTTCTTTGTTGCAAGTCATGTGGGGAGCATGCCAACACTGATCACTGCAATAGTCATAAACATGCGCCAGTTCCAAGGGAACCCGAATGGGACTCTTCGAACTGTGGGAGATGCTGCAACGGTCATAAATGTGAGGCTTGGTCGCAAAGCTGCTTTTTATTTTTATTTTAATACATTCACTTCAAAGTGTTGCTAAACAAGGTAGTCAGCAGGCTACCTGTGTAAATGCATTTGTTCGGAGGGAATTTTCCCAAACGGCAAGTTTGAAATCTCACTATGTCTGTAGAGTATCTCAGGCTGTAAATACATATCAACATTAAAAGAGGTGAAGCATGACCGTATCTGCATGGTAATTTAAGGAAAGGATACCATCTGCCAAAGCAGTTGTTTCCCCCCCCCCCTCCCTAGAGTTGCGCAACTCTTGGATTCAGTTCCAAAATGCTGTTTCAGACTTTGAGCAGGGCCAGAGCCACATGATCTGAAAAGAAACAAGTTGTTTTAAAGGGCTGCAAATAGAAGCTACGCTTGCCTGCCAAGGACTCCGAAGCACCTTTTTGGAACTGGACTCAAAGCGTCACAAGAGCCTAATTCATTTCCCACAGGCACAAACCCAACCACACTAATCAATTCTAAGAAATTCGCCCATGTTTAATATGTTGCCTTGAGGTAATAAATCTACAAATGTAACACAGAGTGTCTGCATTCTCCCTAATACTCTCTTGTTATACTTGCTGATGTCCAGCTTAATGTAATTTCTACCAATAATGTCCCTAATAAATTGTTAACAACCCTCTTTATTGAAATACTAATTTCCATTATGTTCCTCCCTTTGCAGTAATCCAAACTGTATTTATTCTCATAGCCACAGGGTTAAGCAACACGTTTCTGTACTTAACAATTTAACTTGTTTAAAATACTGCTGTTTTACTAGCAGTATGCCTCTTCCAATAGCCTAAGCCGGCTGGGGAATTCTGGGAGTTGAAGTCCACAAGTCTCAAAAGTTCCCGAGTTTGGAGACCCCTGGCCTAATCAATTAGCCTTTAAGGTGCCACTGTACTTGCCTCTGATAACTCCCATGATCAGCGGATGAGGAATTGCAGACTTGATGTGCAATGACTGTTCATATAGTGCCTTGAGTTTTTTATTGTTTTTTTGTGCTGTATACATTTGAATTTCCAAAGCGTAAATTTCCAATAGCTGGGTGCCTTTTTTAAGGTCATCTTCTCCATCATCAGTCTAGTTAAAACAACAACAACAAGTGCAGTATAAAATCATGAATACACTTTTTCTTTCTGCTTCCTATGAAATACAATTACAGATAAAATGTATTTGTAGATTTTAATCTATAAAAGGTGTCTCATATGCACTGTAAATTCTAAACTGTATTGTGACATCTTTATGCCTGGACTGGATTAAAAAAAACCTGTAGTATACATTTCAAATCAACAGAGATACCAAAATTCAGTGCAAATTCCTAGGAGCCAAACTTGAATTTCTACAGCTTTCCAGAGGGCATAATTTAAATACCGTTCTCTCTCTGCACCTGAAGGGAGAACTCCAGGGATGAAGAAGTTAATTATTGGATTCTCCATTCCACCATCAGCTTCAAACATAAATTTATTTCCCCACATGGATTGGGAAGCTTAGCTGTTGAAAGCTCACAAATAAGACATGGCAAGAGACTTCTGGAAGTAGCTGAGGATCGACTGGACCCACCAATCCTTTGGCTTCTATAACCCTGATTTATGGAGCTGGATGAAAAAGTTAAGAAATGAAATCATGACGATGAAAATTTGCTCCATTTTTTTTTCCTCATTCGCTTCTGCCATTCAGATCTGTAGTTAGCAGAGCAATGGACTAAAATTTTGCAAAGGAACAGAAAGATAAATCATGATGCATCACTGGCCGTGCTTATAAATGCAAGTTTAGACTAAGCCTGTCTGTCAAAGTAACAATCCAAATTAAAGTAATAAGCTATCTGATTTCAATGGACACTTGCTTTTGGATGCAGGATTATCACTTGCAGTTGTAAAATTGTTCAAAGGCAGGCAAAACACCTCTTTAAAATTCCTTCTAGAACCGTGATGGCAAACCAGGTGGCACAGGTGGCACGCAGAGCCCTCTCTGTGGGCATGCACTCCGTTGCCAACTGCTCTTCTGGTTTCTGGGCCAGCGTGCTGGTAACCCGAAGACCAGCTGGCCAATGTGCATACATGTGCCGAAAACTTAAAGACCCAGCGTGCATGTGCGCGCCCACCACCTGGTATTTGCATTTCTGGCGCTCTGGTTTGGGCACTGTGCCGAAAGGTTTCGCCATCACTATTCTAGAAGAACACATCAAAGCAATTTTGCAGAGAACCCCACAATGTAAAAATGTTCTTCCTTTATGCCCATCAATTATCTTCCTAAGATATGCCTGCCAAACCATTTCAGTACTTGCTATCCTGTTGTCAAATAAATGCTTGTGCTATTTAAATATTCTACAAAGGATTGCAGCAGGCAAGAGAGTTACAACCACTTGATATACAGACTCAGAGAACAAACTGCACCTTACCTGACATGATTGATGGAGTTGCCGCAAAATCTTCTGTAACTTGCCATATTCTTCTCGTTCTAAATATAATTTGCCAAGCTGTAAAGCAAATTTTTTTTTTTAAAAAAGGAAGAATCTTAAATATATTTTTAAAAATTGTAACATTCCCCAAAAACAAAACAAATCAACAACAACCCAGATTGGTCATTTTACCTTTGTGTTTGTCTTAAACCACAATCTATCATTCTTAGCATCTTTCAGTGCTTCAAGTGTTGTCTCATAAAATTCCTGAAGCAAATCCATCTGACATAAAAAATCAGAATTCTATAATTGTAAACAGCAAATTTGTGCCTGTTAATAAAGTCAACATGAACACACCCAAAGTGCAACTTTGAAAACTTAAAACTCTAATATTGGCATTAAGATGTGCATATTTTTAACAATGACAAATCATAACAAGATCAGCTTAATGTGGGTTTTCAAACTCTTTTTTCCAGGAATATGTGGGACTCTATTTCATGGTTACAGCGTTTTAGTGCTTCCTGGAATAATACTATGATTTGGCTTGAGCTACGGAAGCTGCAAATTCCCGTGCCTTTTATTTTGGCGTCTACAAAATTATCACCCTATATTGGGCAAACAAAATAAATAAAAAGATTAATGCTTTTTTTCTCCATGAGATACATTGCTGTTCAACTATAATTAAGTTGAGCAAGTAGAAACACTAATTTCATAATTTTTAGTGCCATGTTTATATCTCTATCAAACAGCTATTATCTTTTCAGGTATGAAATAAGAAAAAAAACTCTGCACCATGAAAATAATCAACACAGGTGTGTTGAGGATATTTTAGGAGTTTGAAGATCCAGTACACATGTTCAGCAATATTTCATTTTTATTTATTCAATTTATTTGCTGCCTATCTCACTGTAGGGCTACTCTAGGTGCCTAGCTCATTTCAATATTATTTCAACATTATTATTTTAAAACATTGAGAAAAGAACAATTAATGAGAAAGAGCGAGAAAACAGCAAAATCAAAAACACTTGTGCTAAAAATGGTGCTACTTAACAGTTTTCCAAGAGAAGCAAAACTAAACAGATTCTTAGACCTTTTAAAATAATTAAGGCACTGAACAACAAACCAAGCTAAGGAAATAGCCTAAAATGATCCCAAAGCTCAGTCCAAAGATTTGGTGCAACCGTCACTGAGTTTGGGATGGGAATGCTCTACATAATGGCAGTTGTTAGGGCACAGTTGATAGTGTTGAGCAAGATTACAGCTGTCAAATGATTTTCCATATCTACTTAAGCATCTTGATTACATTTTTGTCTTTGAAATCTTGTATATCATGAAAGAAAAACTGGCATCATACAACTAAATTAAAAGTTAGTCTATGATAATACGATTATAAAAATTTCCAAATCAAATTTGCAAAGAATAAAAGTTCCTAGATGTCCAGTGATCTGTCAGAGTTAAAGCTGGAGAATATTTCTATAAAGATTTCTGCAAGTTTCAGTAGACACCCTTCAAGAAACACTGAAGGGTTTGTTTTATATCTATCTATCTATCTATCTATCTATCTATCTATCTATCTATCTATCTATCTATCTATCTATCTATCTATCT